GGGGACGCGCCTCGGGCGCGGAAGGGGCGCGCGCGACAAGGCGCGCTCCCCGAGCGACGTGGGGCTGCGTGTGGGCGGGTTCCGGGGAGGGCTGCAGGACGTGGGTGCTGGCGCCCCTAAGCTCCAGGGGGACCCCCCGCCGCTGGGCTCCCCGACTGACGGCAGCCCCCGGCCACGGCCCTTCCCCCGCTGCAGACACACATGCGACTGCGGCAAAGCGCGGTCTCCCATGAGACAACCGACCCCACGCACCCGCCGAGGGTGGGGATGGTACGGATGCTCCAGACTCGGGGACTTTCTTTATACCAAGGGTACCCAGCGATAACTGAGGGGAACCCCACCTGCCCCGCCCCGTGCCCCAGCTAGTTCCCTTCCCGCTCACGTCCTCTCCTGCGTTGGTACCTGTCCCCTTTCTCTTTGGACTCAGCGCGCCTCTGAGCTGCAGCCTTCCTGGGATCCAGGCATCCTCTGCTTTTAGCTTGCGCCCTACCCCACCCCCACACGCACACCTTTGCGCTTTCATTCTTTTCCTTTACCCTTATGCTACCGGTGTAGCAGCTGCAACAATATCTTACAACTGAAAAGAATTTGCTCTAACCACTGTGGCGGCTCGGGGGTATAGCTCAGTGGTAGAGCATTTGACTGCAGATCAAGAGGTCCCTGGTTCAAATCCGGGTGCCCCCTGGGAGTGTTTTCCTCCATTTAACGACCAAATAAAATTGCCTATCATCTGAAAAACGATGTTGATTTAACTCTGGGTTAAAATAGGTAAGAAAGTAGAGGTTATTTTTTCCTTACTTTACAGTCTGAACAAGAAAGCCTTCGATTTTGCCCTGTACCTAGCAGAAGAATGCGGCGTGGAATAGAAGTCATGCGACCTCATTTGATTGGCGCCAGAGTGCTGATTTCTGCCCACGGAAGCCTTGCGGGTTTTGATTGGATGGTTCCACACTTTGGATTCGAGAGCCAAGGTCCCTCCCCAGGTTGTCGGTCTGTGTCCCATGAGGGTAAGGGTTAGGTTAAAACAGTGGAAACTCACAGACATAGCCCTTCTCCAACCTAAGCTTTCATTTCCCTTTTTATTTCATTCTGCATTCTTTATTATTCTATGTTCTTCTCAAGCTTCCCTGTTGCTTGGTGATGCGGACCGAGAAAAAGCTCTTCGAGAAGTTGAAACTGGCAGATGCGCACCCACAGTTCAGAGTAAGATCTCAAAGCCAAGTAATATGAATTAATATAGTGGTTTTCAAACTTGTGCGTGCTCCAGAATGACCTGGAGGGCTTATTAAAACATCCACAGCTTCCGATTGTGTAGACCTGGAGGGAGGCCTTGCCAATTAGCTCTTTGGGGGATTTTATCCAGGTGAGGCACTCAGGGACCCAAGTCTTTAAGGATCGCTGGAGCCATCGGGTTTCAAATCCTCACATGGGGACGACAGGTATCCAACTGCTGAGTGCATGGCTTACGGTATCTGGGCTGGAAGAACTCTTAGTGTGAAGAAGGAAGCAAGGGCGGCCCCCTCAGCTAGGTTTTGCCCAAAAAAAGGAAAAAGAAAAGAGACAGGGAGAGGCGTGCTGCCTGGGCCAGGGTGCGGCTGTGATATTTTAAACACGGAATCTGGTTGTGTCATCCCAGGACCCCAGGGGAATACTCTCGTGCATTTTTTTTGCCTCCCAGTTCCCATTACTTTTCTATACTGGGCTGGGCTGAACAGAGCTGCGGGGCAAAACTCAGAAATACCTGACAGCGCTTCTCCCTTCCCAGGCTCCGGGCCTTGAAACTGCACGTTATCAGGCCTCAACTTCTCAGTGAAGGTTCTCATTATTGTATCTATAGATCACGTCCTTTTTTCCCCCCACATAGAGCGTCATGTAGCCCAGGCTGGCCTGAAGTTTGATAAATAGGCCAAGGCTAATATTAAACTCCCTTGAACTCTGATCCTCCTGCCTCCGACTGCCAAATGCTGGACTTAACAGACGAATACTACCACGCCTGACTATAACATGTCTTAAAGCCAACAAGTGCATGAACATTCTGTATCTGGATTCACCCTTAGTCTTTTGGGTCAGGAAACACACTAGGTAAAAATACTACCGCTTTCACAACACTCTGTGTCCCAAACACAAGTTGTTCAGCACATTATGAGAGAGGAAGGAATCCCACTGCTACTGACCCTTAATTACCACGAACATTCTAGTGGAGAAAATTTGGAAGATACAGGAGGTAATTTGAATTTGAAATGACTACTAAGTAGTGGAATTCTATATGAATGTCAATGAAAAATATGTACACTCATTAAGGGGGCACCCGGATTTGAACCGGGGACCTCTTGATCTGCAGTCAAATGCTCTACCACTGAGCTATACCCCCTCTGCTGGTAGAGTGTTAGAAAATTCTTTTTACATGAGTTGTGTACTTTTCATTCTGCGACTTGTTTAATTGTTTATACTTCTTAAAGTGACATGTTTTTGCTAAGTAATATTGAATTTAACCAATAAAAAGGCATACATCTAAAACTAAACAACAAAATAACTAAAAACTAGTAACATTTAAAAAATTTTTTTTTTTTTTTTTTTTTTTTTTTTTTTTTTTTGGTTAGAGCAGGATTTCACAATATAACTCCAGCTGACCTGGAATACAAACTCCTTTTGTCAGGCTCAATACTTTATCCCATCTCTTGCAAACTGTATTAGAAGACTTTCCCCCGCTCTCTCCAGAATACAAATACCACCTCAAACAGAATGCCCACTGAGAAGCATTTGTAGTTTACAGAGAGTCATAGTTGCCCTCTTTTGATTCTTAGAGCATTCACTATGTGGCCCTCTCAAGAAGCAGAACAAACTTCCAACTAAAAAAAAAAAAACTGTCCTAGCTCTCTCTGAGTTCACAATGTACTAGAGACAGACTAGAAATAAATGCACAGATTAATTAACATAAATACTTAACGGGGCAGTGCTGGCACCAGTGCATGCCTTTATCCCAACACTCAAGAGGCAGAGGCAGGCAGCTTTCTGTGAGTTCAAGGCCAGCCTATTTTATATAGTAAATTCCAAGACATCCAGGATTACACAGAGAAACCCTGTCTCTCTCAAACTCCCTTCCAAGAAAACGTTAACACTTAAAAAAAAAAAAAAAAAAAGCAGTGGTGATGGTGGTGCCTGGTGCCTGGGATGTATTCAGCACTTAGTTCAGCCATGGCTGAATAGCAAAACTCTGCCAATAAGTAAATAATACTAAAAGCACTAAAAGCAACATATTTAGGAAAGTACCAGAGGGTTACTTCAAGTTGGATAGCCATGGAAGGACTTTATTCTTCTTTCCTTTACATAGACTGATGGGACTCAAATCCAGGGTCACGTGAGGCTGCACACACTTCACCATTAAAATGATACCTTCCTAGCTGAGTGGAAAGCTGGACAAGTGATTTGGCACTTAAGACTGGAATGACATTTAGGAAAACTATCCACATGTTGGGTGGTTAGGCTAGGCAGAGGAAATGACCGCTAGGCAGTCCTTATAGCTGGGGGGAGGTTAGGCCAGGAAGAACAATCCAAGAGCTGAAGTATCAGGTGCCACATGATTTAGTCTCAGCACTTGGGAGGCAGAGTCAGGAGGATCTCTGAATTCCAAGCCTGCCTGATCTACATAGGGAGATCCAGGCCAGCCAAGGTTACACAGTGAGACACAGGGTTACACAGGTATGGGCTGGGGTGGCAGAGGTGGGGGAGAGTTAAAGTGGCCAGGACAGTGGCAATCCAGAGTCTTGACATGAATTTTATATAAAATAAATGAAAATGTATGAAACAGTTTAAATGAAGGGAGTTTAAATCATCATTGAGACCAATACAGAGGAGATTTATGGGAAGTCAAAGGGATCTGGAGAAAACATCCTATGCAGTATTACTTAGCCTCAGGAAAGAAATTCTGCAATGTGCAACACGGTGGATTTTACTTTGTTGTTTTTGTTTTTCCAGACAGGGTTTCTCTGTGTAGCCCTGGTTGGCCTGGAACTCACACTGTAGACTAGGATGGCCTGGAACTCAGAGATCCACCGACTCTGCCTCCCAAGTATTGGGATTAAAGGCGTGTGCCACCACATGGTGGATTTTAAGGACATTATGCAACCTAGAGAGAGAGAGACCCTGTCTCAATAAATTAATTAATTAATAAAGTGGAATCTGGATACTTCGTGATTCCAGTTACAAGGTATGTAGAGAGCCACAGAAGTAGAAAGGGGAAATGGTGGCTAGTAGGGACTGATACAGAAGGACACAGGGAGCTGCCATCAGTTACACAAAGGTGTGTAAATTCTAGACAACTGCTATACAACTCTGTGCCCAGAGTCCCGGGGTGTGGCTCAGTGGTGGGGTCCTGATAGACACCAGGCCCTGTGCTGGATCAGCAAAAAGAAAATCTAAGATCAGTCCGACAGTGGTGGTGCACGCCTTTAATCCCAGCACTAGGGACGCAGAGGCAGAGGCAGGTGATCTCTGTGAGTTTGAAACCAGCCTGGTCTACAGAGCGAGTTCCTGGACAGCCTCCAAAACAATACAGAGAAACCCTGTCTCAATAAAACCAAAAAAAAAAAAAAGAAAGAAAAGAAAAGAAAAGAAAAATCTAAGATCAGACTCACTGGTTTGAATTCAAGGCGTGTAGGTAAGATGGCACACACTGTGATTCCAGCACCAGGAGCATCAGAAGGACCAGCCTCAACTACATATAGAGTTCAAGGCCAACCTGGGCTGCATGACACAAAGATGGAGAGGGTAAAATATAGAAGAAAATAAAAAACCAAGCATTTCTCTTTGGTGCTAAGGATATACTAATTGATAGAGTAACCTAGAATATTGAAGGCTCTGGGCTGTGTGTTAGAGTCTCACACACACACACACACACACACACACACACACACACACCATGGTTTTGGGGGCTGACAAGATAGTTCAAGTTAAGCTACTTGCTATTCAGCCTGATAATTTGAGTTCATTCCCCAGAACCCATGTAATAGAAGGAGAAAATCAATTCTTGCATGTTATTCTCTGACCTTCACACTCATCTAAACACTCAAACACACTCACACACAATAAATGTAAAAACATTAATTTAAAAAAACATCTTTTTGAAAAATCTCAGCCAGATGTGGTGGGTCACCCCTGTGATGACAGCACTTTGAAGGCTGAGGAAAAAGATGGCTAGTTCCAGCTCCAATTTGGGCTATATGGCATGGCCCTGTCTCAACAACAGCAATAATGAAAGTCTCATTAAAGAGAAAGCAGTAACTGTCTGGCTCCTCCCTATCCTTGCAGAAGTCATATTCTGGTGCCACAGTCAAGAGGGGCTCAATAGGCAGCCAAGCTACCCAGAGAAACTCTCTATATGTCAGTGTGTGTGTGTGTGTGTGTGTGTGTGTGTGTGTGTGTGTGCGAGCGCACGCGTGCGTTTCAATGATTTTGCATTTTTATTTTTAGTAACTTATTTAACTTTATGTGCATTGGTGTGAAGGTATTAGATCTCCTGGAAATGGGGTTACAGATAGTTGTGAGCTGCCATGTGGGTGCTGGGAATTGAACTCTAGAAGAGCAGCTAATGCTCTTAATGGCTGAGCCATCTCTTCAGCCCCATTTTGTGTGTGTGTGTGTGTGTGTGTGTGTGTGTGTGTGTGTGTGTGTTTTGTTTGTTTGTTTGTTTTGGTTTTTTGAGACAGGATTTCTCTGTGGCTTTGGAGGCTGTCCTGGAACTAGCTCTTGTAGACCAGGCTGGTCTCAAACTCACAGAGATCCACCTGCCTCTGTCTCCCGAGTGCTGGGATTAAAGGCGTGCACCACCAACTCCCGGCATGTGTGTATTTCTAACACGGGATTTGGCGAACCTACCATTAGATCCCCTTATTGTTACTGTTTACCATCACACCACTGCAACTGTTTTCTGCAGAAAGGAATGGGCAAGCTCTTCAGCTGAGAAAAGGCAGAGGCAAGAGTATGGGAGGTTTGCTGGGACATGGTGGCTCATGTCTTTAATCCCAGCACTCGGGAGGCAGAGGCAGGTGGATTTTTTGTGAGTTTGAAACCAGCCTGGTCTACAGAGTAAGTTCCAGAACAGCCAGGGCTACACTTCTTGAGAAACCCTTAAAGAGTATGGGAGGTTCAAGACAGGAGAAACCATGGGGTGTTCATTTTGGAAAGGAAAAAAGTGAACATACTTGGGCAAAGGTTTAGGAATGCTAGACAAAAACCTTTTAGAGTTGGGTGGAGGGACACAAGCATCTGCTGTTTCTCAACAACACCCAGTCACTGGGTGCAATTGTGAGCAATCCTATAATTGAAGTTGCTTAGCTTGTAGATTGGCAAGGAAGTACATCCTAAGGCTCACAGTGAACCAGTCAGTGCACCGAGCAAGGACTTTGGAGAACACAAAGAATGCAAAGTGATCCCTGCACTCAGGAAATGCCCAATCCACCTGGACGTAGGGTGGGTGACATGGCTCAGCAGGTAAAAGTATTACCACCAAACCTGATGACTTGAGTTCAATCCCTGATGTCCACATAGTGTAAGGAAATAGTCAATTCCCACGAGTTGTCCTCAGACTTACACACACACACACACACACACACACACACACACACACACGTGCAATTGAAAATATTGAATATAATATGTGTTCCAAGTAAGAAGTACTCCAGAATAAAAATGCAGAGAGAACATCTAAGGTAGGTCTTCGATGATGAAATCCAAGACTTTGTGTTGTGGGTTGAACCCAGAGCTTTGTGACATGATAGGTCAGTGCCCCCGTAGATAAGTATAGTCTTCACCCAGTCAAGGAAACTTCTCTCTGCAACAGAGACCATTACAGAAAATACCACCAATCAAAATGCAGGGATGTGGAGCCCAGTCCTAGTGGATACATTTACAAAACAACTTCTGTACCTAAGGTTCAGGGAACATTGCAGAAGAGGGGGCTGAAAGATTGGAAGGGCCAGAAGACCGGGGCATTTTCTTTGAGATTGTGTCAACATCAGAAGCTACACCCATAAAGTCCCACCAACATGCCTGCCCAAATGTGTGCTGGACAAGGACAACATCAATGAATCTACTAAACTGGACAAGAAAACCCCACAAGGTTTCAGCCCTACACAAAGAGTGACAGACAGTTAAGTAAAGCTAGAAGCAGGAGAGGTGGTTCTCCCCAGGGACAAACACATCGATTGGTTGTCCGGTTCCAAATGGTAAGTCTGAAAACATGCATACAATATTATATGATGGAACAGGTTATATTTAGAAATATAAGTGTATATACAAATATATGTATACATGCAATAGCAATGAAAAGGAAACAATGGATTTGGAAGAGAGCAGGTAAGGGTATATGGGAGGGTTTGTAGGGAAGGAAAAGAATCGAGAAATGTAATTAAGTTGCAGC